ATTACAGTAAATATTTTTTTTTTCCTTCGTATAGATTAATTAATGATTTGTCATTGTTTGCATTTTTTTCTTAGGCTTTTACTGGTCCATTCTTACAAATTGAAAGTACACCTGTTGAATTACTTAATAAACATCGTCAAACGGAATTAACTTCATAATAAAATATGCATTATTCAAGACATTTTTCAATCTAATAACATTATTTTATTATTGAAATAAATATATTGAATAGAACTAATTAACTTGTGATTAAGAAAAAAGATATTCTTTTCTTTTTCAGTTATTAATCTTATTCATATTATAGAAGCTACTGATAGAGTCCTGCAATCCGATCTGATCCATTGATGGATGTAGATGCAACTTTATCGGATTGAGTTGGGTGTAGATTAAACTTTGAAAACTGTCAAGTTCTTTTTTTTCTAACATAATCTATCGCTCTCTATGTACTTTTTCACGACTGATATAAAAATCAATGTGCTATGAAGCTATCGGTTCATATTGTCTTTAAATATTCTATTGATAATTCAAACAATTCTGAAACGATTACATAACTTATTATTCTCGGATAAATTCAATAGAGCAGATAGAGATTATTGTGCTTACATACTTCAAATTAAATATTAAATTCTAAATGATATTGTCTCAAATACTACTTAGAAATCAACACACAATTATCCTTTTTTTTTCTTCATTAAACGTTTCAAAAATATTTAATGATAACATTGGATACAATAATAATCTGATAAGTGTTGTTCCCTTTGCTTTGCTGATAGACATATTCTGAGACGAACATAGAAAATAGTTTTCATTTCAACATACTCTATTAAAAGAAAATAAGTATTAACAATTTGAAGTTTGAACAAGATTCTTTCAATAGAAAAGAAAAAAGATTCTTAATGGAAGTTTAGGATAAAAAGAATCTTGGCTGATTAATAAAGAAAAACAAGGATCTGGACAGAATAGATCCAAAAAGGTCGATTAGTGTGACATATCAAATTATGAAATGAAAGATGGATCTGCAGATCAAAAACAGCACGGGACCTGCACTCTTTGATATGTCCTGGCAATTAGATTGATTAATGTCGAGAGTGTCGTCAATCTTCAGAAGTGTTTCTTTCGAATTTATAATTTTTAACATTTCTAAAAGCAATGACTTTGATAACTGCTCTATACTATGTTCGACAATATAGAGAATGCCTTGTCGATCGAATGATACAGCACTCATTGACTATTGTATTTCACAAACGAATACCTAAAAGGTCAAAGTTTCGACCAAGTAGCTCTAAGAATGAGTATAGTTTCACATTTTTTTTCCTAATGCTTTCCTTTTAGTGAAATCGCCGACAGACTCGACGTCCAGTCGACGTACAACGATATACAAAAGGAATCGAGGTATAGTTCAAATACTCTTGAGTCACTATGAAGAAATTTTACTTACTTTTTTTTTTACTTTCAGTTGCTGACATTTATGATAAATATTTATCTATCGAAAGACCTTATTTCTGATCAGCAATCTAAGGAAATGCTCGTTCTATATCTGAGAAAACGAATCAATGCCAATTGTGGTATTGAAATTGTAGCGGTTGTTAACGATATTGAAACTTTGAAAAAATTTAATGCCGATCTTTATATTGATAAAGATCTTTTTCTCGCACATATGTACGTTGATACTTCCTGAATTTCGAATAAAAACGTATTCTGAAATGGTTTTCGTGGATTTTTTTTTAGAGAAGCACTATTCGCTTTACACATCCAAAACACCATTGCAAGTATACAACAAGCACTGGAGCATAGACAAAATAAAAATTTGCATCATTTTCATGAGACTACAGGTAAAACATATGCTATTTGAAAGATTTTCACTAGAAACTGATTCGAGGAAAATTCAGTTTTTCTAATAAGAAAAAAACATATTTTTCCTATCTTCTTGAAATCACATATCGTTTCAATAATGAGTTCTTTGTTTCTCTCATGCTGTTAATTAGAAATAGATTTCATCTATATGATTTTATCTACTATTTAGATGATTCGGATCTCGAAGTGATTTATCGAAAATTTGAAATCAATCGACATCAAGTGTATCTTTGGACGGTATATTATATAGCGTTAAAAAAAATATCCAAATCAGCGAGAAAATTCCAGATCCATGAAGTAGTACAAGAATCAAAGAGAAGATCTTTATTAATAGAAAGAAATAAAATGATGTAAAAGAAATTTCTTGATAAAAGTACTTAAAATGAATTGAACTTTGTAAAAGTAATTCAAAATATATAAACATGCTAAGATTATAGTCATTGAGTAATGCATTACATCAAGAATTTCAAACATCTACAAAAAGATTTTCTTGTTTCCTTTTTGAAATGTACTAAATCATAGATGGAAATTTGAAAGAAAAGAACAACTTATCTAACTTCTTGTAGATATATTCGATGAGGTTTTTTCATATTTTAGAAAGCTGAATTGTCGATCGACGAAAAAAACGAAAATTTCGTACTCATTCATAAGGACTTCATATTCTATATAACTTAATTATTGTATCTATTTCAAAATAGGTTTTTCTTTCTGTCTGTTTTTATTTTTTGTGAATAAACATCAGAGCTATACATAAATATCAATCACTGCAATTGCATATCTACGAGGAAAATGTGTCAGTACGTTCAATCATTAGTCTAGTGAAACGACAGTACTACTGTCTTGATATACGTTTCTTGAAAATTAAATCAAGACTGGAGAACTTTGGATGTAAAAGACTTTTGAATTCGATCAACTTGAAATAGGACAAGCTGAACAGTTACGAACAGCAAAACCAATATCAATCTTGATGTCAATTATTCTGCATATATCATCAGCAAATTCTTATTAAAAAAAAATGAAATGAAATTATTTCTTAAACAACTCATACACATTTATTGGATCATGATGTTGTACTATCGGATTGTCTTTTAGGATGATCCTATTACAAGTGAGTAATCGATAACTATGCGTAATTTAACCTTTTATTCAAGACTTGTAGCGACTGAGAAAGGCAGTTAAAATCATTTTGAAGGATAAGAACTCTTCTCGAAATCGAACTGTTTCAATAGTCGAAATAAAATCATTCTATTCTTTTATATCTATCAATCAATCAATTCTCAGTCATACAGTTATTGTTTTCTCTTCTCATTCACGTAGAGAAACAAACCAAACAAATTGATGGTATACACAGCATTATTCATAAAGATTCATTCGCAATAAATGAATATTGATAAATATAGGCATTTTCAATGATTTGTCGATTGACAATGGAATATTGTTGATGAATTAAAAATCTAGAGATTCTCAATTTCTTTTGTTTTCTATAAATTCAAAATTTAATAACTCTGATCATCATGTAATAATGATCGATAGAATCTATAACGATGTCACTTCGTAAGAGACGTATAAAGATGGAACTGTAAGAAAGAAGATACTTTCTTTTGCATGCATAAATATAGTATAATTGGAAAAAACCAATCACTTACGTACGTGAATCGTAAGCAAAATTACATCATGTAACAACAGAAATAGTTTCTTTTTCCTTTGCTTAGTTATTCTCACATGAATAAGAATTGATATTTTTTTGTTCATATTCCGAAATATGCTCATTTTCATTTCATTATAAAATCTCATCTAGTGTCTTTTTTGTTCTTATTTCTTAATGTTTGGATTCTCCACAAGCAAAGGAAACGAACATTGGAGAATAAAATTGAACTTTGGAGCTGTTTTCACAAAAAAAATTTCAAAACACATAATTAGTCTTCAACGTTAGGAACTCATTCGCAGCAATGTTCAGAAGGACGTGGGCGTAGATGATTTCAGCGAAGACTCGCAACAACATTCACATCCTATTTATTCATTTTTAACGTACATTCATAACAAACATTGAAATATGAATGATAGAAAAATGTACAATACATTCTCTTATATAAAATAAACGCTCTTTAAAAACAAAGGTTGTAAACGAATAAATCAATTATTACACCAAACATGTTATTTTAACAATCTCTTTCGAAAAATGACTTTTTTTTTTATGATGTCTACATTCAGTTGTTGTACAAGCTTCATTAAATTTTATTATAAAATTAAGCGTGAAATTTAAAAGTACATTATGATGCAATATAAATTTTCTGTTTGATTTTTATTTTATATTATTCAGATAATTGAATAAAGAATTTATTTCTTCGTTTCTTGATGATAATCTATGTATCATATATTATTATCGTTCTTTGCTTTCGATTTAGACAATATGAGTTATTTGCAATAGAATATATTATTTCATTGTATTTTCATGTTATTATTATTATTCTTTAGAGTAAATAGATAAATATTAAAAGAAAATTGTAGAATGCAAAATAGGTATATGATACCATGGTTTTAACTAGTAGTAGATGATAAAACTATTTTCTCTTTGAAAACTGTTAATATAGGATAGAAAATTACTTTGATCAAAACAATGATTACAAGGATGTTAATAAAGCCTCTTTTAGTACGAGTTTTTCTTGTACAGTTCGAAAAATAGGTTAGTTTTAGAAGAAATTGTCTCAGTACTTGAAATAATCGCATAGACTGCTCGAGCAGAATATAAAACAATATAGGCTACTTATTACTGGTTGTGAAAGACATCTAATCTTATATTTTTCTTACATATAAGTGGAGAAATTCAAAATTCTTATAGCTATTCATATATTGTTTCGCTCGCCTGTATGTTGATTCTAACCTGAAGTACATTGAGAATTCATTGATTTGTACAGTTATTTTTTGTAAATATTTTATATAGACACTGATTTTAACCTTGAAATTGCACATAAACATCTGATCTAGATCCATCATATATATATATGTCACTCATATGAAAAAAAACCAATATGACACTCTATAAAATCTAATTTTCTTGAATATAAAATTATTAATTAAAATAAAAATAGCACATTAAAAAAAAGAAAAGAGATTCAAATTGAGTCTAGTCTTAATTGAAATTGAATTTATTGTTTTTTGTCTTCTTCGTCTTCTTCATATATCTTACGAAGTGCTCGTAAGAATTCTCGTTTTAACTTTTCATTTTGACATCGTGTTTGAATGTCTATTTTCAATGCTTGATATCCAGCTGTATTTGAAGCATATGTACCATCACTCAAAACATCTGTATTAGATTGTGACCATGTCAAACCATTTTTAATTGCACCTTGCAGGAAACATACCACTTCTGGCATATCCCGTGGATCTAAAAAGAAGATGTTATATTCAACAATTAAATTCTATTCATAATCATACTTTTTGAAAGGCATAATTTATTGCATAGAACTACATTATCTTCATCTCGAAGTTCAAATCGAAAACCATGACCAATGGCTATATCAGCTTCAGAAACTAAGACTTGTTGTACTGGATCTTGTAATTGATAATATGATCCTTTAATATATAAACGTACTTTACAATCTTTTGCCACATTTTCTAAAGGTTTAACACGACTACGAAAATTTTCATGAAGTAATAATTTATCTCCTATTATATATTTGCTTGAACCATATGCTTTAATTTGACATTTTGGTTTAGCTATTTAAAAGAAACTTAAAGAATCTTACAATTAAAAAGAATAAACTTACAATTGAAAAAAAATCCTTCCGTGAAGGCTATTGAAAGTAACAAAAGGACGAGAATACGAACTTGCATTTTTTTTCCTGTGATTTGATGTATTTAACCATGGAATATATACTCGGTTATAAAATATTTTTTATAATGATTGTAGTCCAAAGATGGTGAATAATCATGATAACATTATTTCACTCCAAACAACTGAATCTACATCTCTTTTTTTATTGGTCCCACCTGTTTTTTTATTCTTCATGGATCCATAAATCGGACATCACAATATTTACTTGTGATATATTATTCATGAGAAAAAAAAATAGTAAGTATTATATGCTTGTTAAATGGAAAGAGAAACTAAAAGAATAGACAAAATATTGGCATTTTACTTTCGTTTCGAAATATAATGTTTGCGATCAAACTAGTATACATATTTAATCAGTTCACATCTTGACATCTTATTTATCAGTATCATTAGATCAATTTCATAAAAACTAAAAGCAACAGAAAAAAAAAGAGTAAGACAAATATTTGTTAGAAACACAAACCCAGCAATGACAATAAGTAAAAATAGCTGTTCTATGCCATATTGTTAAGTCAACCTATGTTTTCAATAATAGATCTTATCTGAACACTTTGTTACAATTGATGGTGAGAGTGTGGGTGTGGGTGTGGGCGTTAGTATTCTCTTTATTGATACTAACATCCACATCCGCACCCTAATCGATGTTCCAATAGTGCCAAAATGTTTTAGATTTCCATAAAAAGTAAATATACGTGCGTGTACAAATACAGCCGCCATGGCTGAGTAGTTACATTGTTCGACACGTACCCACAAGGTACTGCGTTCAAACCTCAGTATCATCAGCCATGGAATGACCATGAACAAGTCATTAATGGCTAGCTGTCTCGGATGATACATTCAATGGCGTATTGACTACCTCGTTAATCAGTATGTAGGGTATGGGTGTGGTTGATAAGCAGAGTCACACCCATACCCGTATTTCGCACCTACATCCTCCTTTACAGGAGAATTATAAAGGTTCAAATAGCCACATCTACCTGGTAGTTTATATGTACCAACTTCATGGTCGATTTAACTCCACAAAAACATCAAACAATAGCTGAATCGGGATTGACGGTGATATCCACATTGTAGTGTATCCTCTCAGCAAGACTAAAATTGTTACCAACAAGTTTCTTATTCTTTTCAATTTGTTGGTTTATAGTTAAAATAATACAATTTCTACGTTCGTAGATAGCTTTTATAATATCGGGACTGCTAATATTGCTTCATGAAGATGTGGAAGCTAAAGTCATTGAAGATGAATTCGATATGATCGTAGTGTTATCGGTATTGGTTGTGATAGTTGCAAAAAATTACAAGAAGCACAAATACTCCTATCTTGTCTTAAAACTCGTACTGCTTCATCTCTCTTCTTCATTAAAAGCTCAATTAAATACAAAAATGAATTCTTTTGCTAGGATGAATAATATAAGTATTATTATTAAGCTTAATATAAAGAGACAACTTCAAAGAAAATAAACAGTTGAATCGAATTTAAGAATACCAAGAACACAATTACAACACAAATAAATATCATCACTACTGACAATTTGAGTAAATCCGCTTGTTTTCTTTCCGACGTATTCGTTGACGAAATGATAAAACTGCTTATCGTGATAAAAAAAAATATTAATCGGAAAGATGACTGGTGTTCATAACAGGCTTTCTTGATGTCATAAAGAATTTACTAAGCTTTAATATTATAGAATACAAGTGGGAGACATCACATCAATAGAGAAATAAATAGTGAAAATATGAAGGGATCAGTATGCAAACATCACAAGATAATGTTTTTATTCTTTTTTTTAGTCAGAAGAACGTTGCCAACATACATATGTGTTTGTGAAAAAAATAGTATGTATGGTGGAGGCTTTATTTCCTTTCTTGTTTAATATAAGCAATAGATCTTTTTAAACTTCGTAATTTTGCTGAGCTTCTAACTTTTTTTCCCATCTATTTTTTATCTTGACGAGAAAGAAAGCTAAAGAGAACAGATGTTAACAGTATGTTGATAACTTCGCAAATGCTTCATGCATCTATAACATGATTTTTTTTATATTTGAACACGATACAAAAATCTACGATCAAAACACAGATTACATAAAGCTGAATACTATGATGAAACAATTAAACAGAGATTATAAAACTTCTGTTTTCAATTGGTTTTAGATTAAATCGATTTTTTCAATGATTGTCTTGATTCTCTGATCGTTCTGATTTAAAATCGATTAAAAGTTTTAAAAAAATCAGCTGTTTTCCTCTTGCTTATAGCACAAGTCATTGCAAGGCATCATTTTAATCAGTATACATTTCGCCGAAAGTCACATCATAGAAATTCGGCAGTCTACATTTCGACAATGTAGTTGTCGGTAATATTCTGAGATGATACCTGTAGTATCTCTCTCTCTTTCTCTACACGATATATACACAAAAAGCAAATAAAAAGAATGGTCGTCGAAACGAAGATCACTAGTATAGATCATCGAGAGGAATTCGACGATGAAGGTACACAATCTATTGTCAATTATTATTAAAACAGTTGATTATATGAATACAAATCTTGTCCTTGCTGAAGTGTAAAATAAATTTCATAGACTTTTATTTCTTTATTTTTAAATTCTTCCTTTTCATATACAATTATTCATTATTCGAATCTGATTCTTTCCATGATTTGTAAAATAAAAATTCATCTAATCAAGAAGGATTGCATATATATATATGCATTAAAAAAAAACACAAATTTCCATTGTATACGATATAGAAGAATAACACAACATATTTTCTTTTTTTTCTAAGTATAAAAAGAAAAGAAATAAGCGAATTCCATGTTCAAATATATGCAAAAAAAAACAGAACAAGAAACTTAAAGATGAGAAACACATAAATAATAAAAAAGAAAACAGAAAGATATTCAAATTCCTTTTTTTAAATATATAATGCTGACATGAATTGAAAAGAAAAAAATAATTTAAGATATAATTATCCTACTGATCAATAGTTGACTATTAGTCAATATGTACGTATATGTATATATGTATATGTATCAACAGATAATATTATTTATTGAGAAAATCAATTGTAGCTCGAACACATTTGCCAGTAGTCATATCAAGTGCGCTAACTTTTATTTCAGTATCACCAAAAACCATACGTGTTTGAATTTCTCGTCGACGATCTTTAGAAGTTATTGATGAATTATTATGATGATTTGTTTGTATATATCCATCATTGAACATATCAAGAACCAGAGTACCTAATAGGAAATAATTAAAAATAGTTGATAGTTTTAACTTACAAAAATAAATAAATACTTACCAATTTTTCTTACACCTGGATCTGTAACATACAGTGGTTTATCTGATTCTGAACAATAAAATGAAATGATACATTGTGGTTGATTATGTCTTGCTGGTGTATATTTTCTTATAACTGTATCACCAAGACCAATTGATTGATCAACAAGAACAAATTTATCAAATATATCTGCACACCATTCAATATTATCTTTAGTAATTTTCTTTTCAATTATATGATAATCAGAAACAAAACGATTCAATACAGATACTCCATAAGTTAAACGTGAACGACGAACATTAACAATAGTTGGATCAAGTCCAAATAGAACAGCACCTTATAAAAATAAAAAAAAGAAACGTCATATTAGTCCGTTTATTTCTTTTTTTTTAAGTTGAAATAAAACCTTTTAATATTGATAGTGAAACATCTTGAGGAATGATCACTTTAAGAATGGATGAAAAAGCTCGACGAATTTCATGTTGAAGTATTGGTGATTCAGCAAAACCACCAACAAGAAAAAGATAATGAATTCCTAAATGAACAGAAATCGTAGTCGTATATCATTCTTCTTCATTCTTTTTACCTTTAACATCAGGACTGTTTAATACATCACCAATAGCACCCTTTATTTTTTCTATTGTCGGATGAAAAAGACGTTTCATAGCTTCTGGTGTTAATCTCATCATGCCTTGTGATGACCATTTTATATCTGGATCATTATAACGACGAATAGCAGATTCCACTGTTGAACCCTATGACACACAAAAAAAAACGATAAAATCAGATATAGATGACAGAGCAAAGTCAATTTAATGGAGACTCAAAAAATAAAAGTTTTCTAATGGTGATGAAGGGGCCACTAGCTGATTTAGAGAAATGGACGGTATCCCGCCTTCAAGAAATTTTTAAAGGTTTTTTTAAGCGAAAAACAAGTCTGCACTACCTTGTATAAGTCCAGAAAATGTGTTCAGTCTATAATCATCCTCGTTCCTTCTAAACTCCTGGATTCGCTACTGATATAGAAGTATTGTTAACACTTTCTTTTTTCATTTCATGACAAATAGAATATTTACACTAGAATGTCTATCAAACCTTGATCGCTTTTCAACAACTAATACGCCTACCTGAGTCCGGAAAGAGCTAAGAGTTATTTAGAAAAGATGTTTCAAAAATAAAAATACAGTTATATAGAATGTACCATCTAACATTTGGCTGAACGTAATCTTCAGAAAAATGCGCGAGATAATTCTTCTTCAAAGAGTTTTCGTTTACCAAATATAAGTTCAGAATGAGATTCGTAAAATTTTTCCAAATATTTAAACCTTCACAAATGTAGGAACTCTGCCTGCCTATGAAATCAAATGAGTGATAACTAAAATTTTCTTCTTCTAACGAAGAAACATTTAAATAATTGAAAATAATTTTACCTTTTTTTTCTTATAATAATCAATAAAAGAAAATGGTAATGAAATATTTGATGGATTATTTTTAAATGGACTAGCTGTACGTTTTCGTGCTTCAAATGCAATCATTAAATCAACATAACCAGCTGGTCGTTTCATTTTGAAATCTTCCATTACTTCTTTACCAAATATTGTACACATTAATTTTTCAAATTCTTGATCAACACCTATAAAATAATTTTTCTTTTAATTAAAAAAGACAAAAAGAATTTTATTTCTATTAAACAAACATACCAACTGAACCATAGGGTCCACCA